TTTCTCCCTCTCTAGGGAAATCTTGAAAAGATGTGCCGTACTCTTGAGGACCAACTTAGTGAACTGAAGGCCAAAAACGATGAAAATGTCCGTCAGATCAATGATTTGGGTGCACAGAGAGCACGTCTGCTTACTGAAAATGGTTTGTATAAGACAACATGCAGTGATCCGAACTTAGTCCTTTATAGTGATCTTCTGTTTTCGATAGAAAAACTGAACACAAACTAAAGTTTGATGACTATTTTTACACAAGGTGAGTTCAGCCGCCAGATTGAAGAGAAAGAAGCTCTCGTCTCTCAGCTGACCAGAGGCAAACAGGCCTTCACACAGCAGATTGAGGAGCTGAAGAGACACATTGAAGAGGAGATTAAGGTAAGAAACACTTCAATGGAGGCTGGTATGGCTTACCAGACAGAGCAGGTGATCCCTATGCTGTAAGGCCCAAGTTTGAATCCATCATAAATGGTAAAAGTGCGTATAGTTTTTTGTTGGTAATTCCGACATTTTGCTCATGCAATGATGTGTCTTACACCAGGCCAAGAATGCCCTTGCCCATGCACTGCAGTCAGCTCGCCACGACTGTGACCTGCTGAGGGAACAGTTTGAAGAGGAGCAGGAGGCCAAGGCTGAGCTGCAGCGTTCAATGTCCAAGGCCAACAGTGAGGTGGCTCAGTGGAGAAGCAAATATGAAACTGATGCTATCCAGCGCACTGAGGAGCTTGAGGAAGCCAAGTGAGTATTTAGTTAGTAAGAATGTGAGCAAAAAACAAGTAAAACAATAAGCTTTTACTGAAACAATGTTTTTTCATAAAGGAAAAAGCTGGCCCAGCGCCTTCAGGAGGCAGAGGAGCAGATCGAGGCCGTTAACTCCAAGTGTGCTTCTCTGGAGAAGACCAAACAGAGGCTCCAGAGTGAAGTGGAGGACCTCATGATTGATGTGGAGAGAGCTAATGGCCTGGCCGCTAACCTGGACAAGAAGCAGAGGAACTTTGACAAGGTACCATCATTTACTTTGCTTGAACAAGACACAAACTCATGGTTTCTCTTAGTATGGGTGAATAACTGCATCGAATGTATATATAGGTGTTGGCAGAGTGGAAACAGAAGTATGAGGAGGGTCAGGCAGAGGTGGAAGGAGCTCAGAAGGAGGCTCGTTCTCTCAGCACTGAACTGTTCAAGATGAAGAACTCCTATGAGGAAGCCTTGGATCAGCTGGAGACCATGAAGCGTGAAAACAAGAACCTGCAACGTGAGTTCCTACTATGCTGTGCAAGTAACGTGTGTTCATTTTTAATGTCTTAAGACTAAACAATATCACACATGCCTCTGCAGAGGAGATCTCCGATCTGACTGAACAGATTGGTGAGACTGGAAAGAGCATTCATGAGTTGGAGAAGGCCAAGAAGCAGGTGGAGACAGAGAAGTCTGAGATCCAGACAGCTCTTGAAGAGGCTGAGGTAAATCTTTGTCTGAGGAGCTCCTCTGAAAATAAATATTCAGTTATACACAAGTAAAATCTACAAATGCAGAGATGAATATCTTTTCATATTCATTCTTTCATATGATTAGGGAACTCTGGAGCACGAAGAGTCTAAGATCCTGCGTGTTCAGCTGGAGCTCAACCAGGTCAAAGGTGAAGTAGACAGGAAGCTGGCAGAGAAAGATGAAGAGATTGAGCAGATCAAGAGGAACAGCCAGAGAGTGACTGACTCCATGCAGAGCACTCTGGATTCTGAGGTCAGGAGCAGGAATGATGCCCTGAGAATCAAGAAGAAGATGGAGGGTGATCTGAATGAGATGGAGATTCAGCTGAGCCATGCTAATCGCCAGGCTGCTGAGTCCCAGAAACAGCTGAGAAATGTCCAGGCACAGCTGAAGGTATGATAGAGCACATAGCTGTTGTACACAAGTGCATTTTTTTATTCATGTGAATATAATTTTGATATTCTTTTTTACTAGGATGCACAATTGCACCTGGATGATGCTGTCAGGTCTCAGGATGACCTCAAGGAACAAGCTGCTATGGTGGAGCGCAGGAACGGTCTCATGGTAGCTGAAATTGAGGAGCTTAGAGCTGCCCTGGAACAGACAGAGAGAAGCCGCAAAATCGCTGAGCAGGAGCTGGTGGACGCCAGTGAGCGTGTTGGTCTGCTGCACTCTCAGGTGAACATTTTTGAAGAGACACTTTAATTGTTTCTTTAGACAAACTTAAAATGAACATCCTAAAATGTAAACTTTCCATGTCTTAGAACACAAGCCTTCTGAATACCAAGAAGAAGCTTGAGGCTGACCTGGTTCAGATCCAGAGTGAAGTGGATGACACTGTTCAGGAAGCAAGAAATGCAGAGGATAAGGCCAAGAAGGCCATCACTGATGTAGGTTTATATACATGTCCACTATGACGATACAACTCAGCTTTGTCTTCATCACTCTGTTAATTGAGGTCATGTTTTCAAGGCTGCTGTGATGGCTGAGGAGCTGAAGAAGGAGCAGGACACTAGTGCTCACCTGGAGAGGATGAAGAAGAACCTTGAGGCTGCTGTTAAGGACCTGCAGCACCGCCTGGATGAGGCTGAGAATCTGGCTATGAAGGGTGGCAAGAAACAGCTCCAGAAACTTGAGTCCAGGGTAAGAAGAATGTGCAGCTGAAAAATATGTGTGAAAACACACACATATATAAACCATGGATTTTAAAAGTTTGCTCAATTTTCTGAAGGTGCGTGAGCTGGAGGCTGAGGTTGAAGCTGAGCAGAGGCGTGGTGCAGATGCTGTTAAGGGTGTCCGTAAATATGAGAGGAGAGTGAAGGAGCTCACCTATCAGGTAAAGCACATTAACATTTTACATCCATCCATTCTGTTCCACTTATCCTTATCAGGGTCGCGGGGGGCTGGAGCCTTTTCCAGCAACCAGTGGATCACATTTTTAAAATGTGTTTTCTTTTATAGACTGAGGAGGACAAGAAGAACATTAATAGGCTGCAGGATCTGGTTGACAAGCTGCAGCTCAAGGTGAAGGCCTACAAGAGACAGGCTGAGGAAGCGGTAAGGACCACACACAGAAAAAACCCCCTCAACTCTATGTCAGATTTTAGTTTTGTGCAAACAAACTGTCATCGTTTTGGACACTAAGAAATTTTGACTTATTACAATGTTACAGGAGGAGCAGGCCAATGTCCATCTGTCCAAGTACAGGAAGATCCAGCATGAGCTTGAGGAGGCCGAGGAACGTGCCGACATTGCCGAGTCCCAGGTCAACAAGCTGAGAGCTAAGAGCCGTGACTCTGGCAAGGTAAATGTACACACACTTTAGACTTTGCACAAAGTTATAAGAAGAAATATCCCAATTCTGCTTCGAATTTCATAAAATTGGATACAGACAATAATTTGATTTGTTTTCACTGAATGCTCCGTTTTTATACACACTGTATACACATATGTACTGTTTTCTTTTGTTCTACAGGGAAAAGATGCAGCTGAGTAAAGCACACGTGTGAACTGTGCATTTCTAATCATATAATATGATGTGAAATACACTCCAATAAAATATTTTTTATCACAATTTCCTGTCTGTGATATTTTCATAGTAATAAACAAGAGAGTAAACATGACACACGGGTAATCTAAGTGCTAATGAATCTTTACTGAGGTATCCTGCATTCAGTTATTAATTTAGGCATGAATACATAGAAGTATATCTCAATTAACATCTTAGGACTTTGAGCACAAACAACTCAGAGCGAAGATACTCCAGAGGGACTCGTGAATGTAGATAAGAAGTTAGAGACAGTGGTTTGGGAGGGAAAAAACAATCACAATAACCTGCACTTAAAGAATCAACATGAACATAAATAAATAGGTAACATTAATAACTTCATTCAAAATGCATTCTTGTGTATTTTAAGCTTTCTTTGTAATCCAGTGCTCTAGCTTGAAAAACATACCCCACATAATCCGTTTCAAATTCAGCTACAGAATGTGTGCAGTGAAAAAAAGTGACACACCGAGTTTGAGAAGAATGTTTAACAAAGAGCTTATTTTACTCATTGGATCACATTTTAAAAAGAGCCTGGCTTTCTGCATAACAATCATAATGAGGATTCAAAACTAATCGTTGCTGTTGGTGAAGCACATGCTAGCTGAATGAGACTGGCATAGCTAAAATAAAAGCAATACAACACTGTACCTGTATATTACTCACCTGACCATGGGTTTTTGCTCTTTGCTGTGTGGATATTCTCCCTGGTTTCCTAAACCTTTGTCCAATCATGCTCAGCTCATTTCTGGCTTCTTTTTCTTTTCTCATTAATGGATTGGCTGATAAAGCATCCTGCCTGACAGCCTAAAAAAGGAGACTTAAAAGCAGAAGCAAGTCTTTTAAAACATGTATTCAAAGTTGTTGTTTTTTTGTTTGTTTTTTTATTTCTTCATTTTTGATAACTTCAATTATTGGGATTAGTCAACTGGAAAATTCAAAGAAATTATGATGGTGCTGATATTCCACGTGTGGCTTTGTCACTTCCACTTAATCACCTTATTTCAAAGGTACATATTCTATACTTTTTAATTCTTTTGAAAATTTGCGGTAATTACTTTAATTTTTTTCTGTCCAGTCACTTTATTTTGCTATTTTGTAAACTTTTCATTAATGTATGTTTTTATTTCATACTTAAATTGTAACTGTAAATGTAATTAGTATTTCTCACACTTTGTCTTCGCACACAGTCGCCCGCTTGTGTTCAATTTATCACACATGCGCACAAAATGGCGCACTCTAGCCACAGAGCAGGGTGAGGACATGTTGATTATCAGGAGAAAAAGTCAACATACTTGTAATTTTAGTGCTTTTAAGCACTTATTATTTAAATTATTCAGTTGTGCTGGACCCTTCATACAAAAAGAGTGATATGCAGAACACTCTTTTATCGCAGCACTGCCATTCTGCTAAAAATGATATCACGTTAATCATGGCTTAATACTCCAATAACATTATTGTGACCGTTACCAAATGATGGAATTTATTAAGGATTCATGGGAAGTTTTAAACAACTGCATTCTATCTTGTGAAGTTAATGTCTCATATATTACATTTCATAGAATAAATTGTGGATTAAAAGATACACATTGTATAAAAAAAAAAAAAAAAGCAACTAATCATCATAACTGTGGCATTCATTATTTTTTCGAGTCCTCTCGTACTGATCTAGGTACACGCTAATTACATGTAGATAGCAACAAGTACAGTTTCTGCTTTAGCAACCAAAATAAACATTTGAACCAACAGTTCGTCAATAATGCCTCTCATAAACTGAGTAATGAGAGTAATGTTAGTGTGGCATTGAGAAAGTGGAGCATTGTTACAAACATCACGTTTACCGTTGAGTAGCAGTAAGTACGGAGAGTAATAAAGTTTTGTGTCACTGTGAGATCAGGAGGACAAGCATGTCTGGTCTTTACCTCAGCAAGTGCAGATGCCTGAACAGTCTGATACACATGCTTTCAGGGTAAAAACATACAAATACAACACTCCATGATGATAGCGGTGGTTTTGCTGTGTTTCAGATCAGTAGGCCATGCCACTTTGCTACTGGCTGACGTACTGAGCGCATCATCAAAGTCCAGTGCTCATCTTCTGAACTCTTCTCCTTCCCCACACTCAGCTGTCCGATCAGCTGTTTGGCTGATTTGCTTGTTGGGCGAGTTTCATATATAGAGACCAAAATTTTACACCGCTCCAGATGAACCTCTGGCAAGGAGAACAAGAGGACCTCATTGAAAACAGTCACCAGGCACCGAGCCACTGTAGAGCTTTTCTGGTACTTTAGCTTGAACTGATTGCACTGGACGCTGATCCTGGCATACAGGGCTGTGCAACACACACATACACAGATTACATGAATTTATAACCGTATGTGCATCAAAGCTGGTGTCTTTTTTGTGTGAAGGTGTCTTTTTTTAATTTACCTGCATTTGGGGATATCTCAGAAAGGACAGTTTTGACCTTTAGCAGGCCAACCTCCAGCCTCTGAGACGTGGGAAGAAATTTCAGGGACAAAAGCACCTCTCCAACAAGATCCTTTGGAGAACGCATCAGTATAATGTACATTTATGCACAGTTTTTAAAAAAAAAAGTGATATAGTTGCTGGCACAAACATAAATGACAGTATTCAGCAGGGCTAAAAATCACCACATAAGCACAAAATGTATTAAATGGCCACAGTCATAACTCAAAAGTATAACATCTTTTTCTTTTGTTTGATCTTAAATTAAAGAGGCAAAGGTCATCCTGTGGTTTCAGTTGCACTAGTGTTACAAATATATTTTTCTTTTCTTTGAGCAATTAAAAATATATTACATGAATTATTATTGCCCCAATATAATAATTCATTATTATAGTAAGATAGATGCTTAGACGGATGCCATGTTCAGTTATTGAAATATCATTGACAATAATGATGGCACCATACGATCCACAAATTACACAAACCAGTAAAAGTTAAACTAAATTTTCTGTGGAAAATAAAATTCTAGCTACACAAATGCACTTTTGGGTTCACCTGTGCAATTCTAAATTACTCCTAATATTTTGCCTCACTCGTGGTACATTAATGCTGTGGACAAAATATTAGGCATAGGTACTATAAACACTAACAAAAATTATTGCTTTTCTGAAAATGGAACAATTTTTGTGTGGACTATGAAGAAGGATTATATAGTTATAACAATGTACTCTATTATATTTTTACTATCATCTGTCACGTCTGTAAATGTCTGTTTAATTATTTCCATTTACACAATGAATATTAGCTTTCCTTTTTATTATTATGGCTAAATATAGTTAATATATAGTTTTATAATCATATTGACATACTCTGTATTTCACCTTTACATAACATCAACTACTTGAGATGCTACTGAAAGCCAGTCCTGTGTGCATGCTGTGTGTTGTGTGTGTGCGCCCCCTGCAGTACCTTCTGGGGTATCTTTAGATCCTCCTGTAGTTCCAGAGGGTAGGAGATGTTGAGCTGTCCTAAAGGAACCCTCACATCTCCTAACACTGTGTTTCTGGAGAATTTATCAAAGTCTCTTACCTGAGATGCATACAGACACCTGATAAATGATTTACACCACAACAGATAAAAACATTTATCATTCATACTTTTTTCTCTCAACAAGTGAAAAGAGACTAAAGTACTGTAACATAGCTGTAGTGCTTATGGCTTTAAATTCTCTGGCCCTTGAAATGTGACAGCTAACATGCAAACTGCATGCATGATTTAATACAAGCAATACCGTTTGAGTCCTGAACAAATATTTTTTAAGAATGAGAGATATGTAGTGCAGAACCTCCATCCTTAGGTTGATGTGATGAAGCTTTTCCTCTTGTAAAACACAGCTGAACTGGTCTCCAAATAAAGGGTTACAGCTGCCTTTCACAATGCGAGTACGCCACTCCTGCAGTACTGTCCACAGAACAGGCGACAAGCCTTCCCCCTAAGAGGATCACACCAGTAATTTATGACACCTTTGTCTTTAGTACAGAGATGCTGTGCTGAATGAAAACTCAAAGACAGCGTGGATTGTATTTTTAAAATATATATCAAGAAAAGGAAGAAAATAAGTTCACGGAAAATAATAATACGACAAACTTACCTCTTCATCTTTAAAGCCCTCGACTTCTACAGCCTCTGATCCTGCCCACATGAGCAGTATTTTAACAAATGGTTGGAGGGTTCGGCTCTCACTCTGTTCCAAAAGCCCCTCCACCTGCAGCACGGTGACCACCAGACGTGACTGCATCTGATCATAGTAGACGGAGAATCGTAATGATCCATCCACCTGATACGGGAGGATATGTTAGGAAAGACCCAAAGACTGTAGTTGATTTTGCCTGAAACTGTGTCATCAGTCATTTACTGTTAATCTTATTTTGTGAGGATTGATGGGACATTTTTTTTTAATGATGTTTAAATTTCTGTTACATACTCAAATAGGAAAAGAATTAGGAAAAGAATGTAAAATTAAATTCAGCCTGCTTATCTTTTAGTCAACCTGATTCATCCTGAATATCTAAACAGATGCCAGAAGGATTTACAGGACATTTAGCTCAGAGATCTTTGGTTGACAGAAGATGAATCCTAATGACTGTGGTGAGGTGCTTGTACAGCCAGAGAAATGAGTCTACACATGTATCTGTGAGCATAAGTGTAATTCATGCACAAGTGCAAGGGTATCTGTATGCATACTTACACTGCATTTTTTAACTTGTCTCTCTATAAACTCACTCTTGGCGCCACCATGTGGTTATGTTTATGGTTTACTAGTAAGAGAGCAGCTTGTAGCGTTTACCTAAACGTTGGCATCTCTATTTAATGATAGGAAAATCTCAATTTTACACCACTTAATTAATCTGACAGCTTTATTTAGCAGACTTTAAATAAAAAAAAGTGATACATTCATAACATATTTTAAAAAGCTGTGCATAATTGGTGCTCATTGCCGGATGTTGCTGGTGTTGTTTTATGAATCTTTAAGTTTTGGATCTTTAAATAACTGTAGAAACACCAACAGAGCAACACTGCACTAAATGAATATACTTCCTGTTTTGTCTCTCATTAATAATTTCACTGGACCTTGGGTTTCTGTCTGTCCAAAATAAAATATATAAACTGGATAAAATACCAGTTTTACCTTTTGAATAGTTGCCTGCTCTTCTTTGTCTCCAGCTGCCTCGGTGGATGCTAAGGAGGGAAACGAGGGCTGAGACAGGTAGCGACTCAGTCTGTGGGCCTCTGTGCTGACATCCTCCAGCTGCAGGCACACACAAATGGGCACTATTTACCCAGGAATTAAGAAAGAAAGCAGGCTAGTTGTATAAGCCTTTATAACACAGAGCACAATTAATTTTTAAGCCTCTACTCTTTAAAGACTCACATCTGTCGAGGAAATACTTAGATATTTCACATGTACACGCTGTCATGATGGATCTGGTTTCATGTACATAGCAGTCAAGGGTATTAATTTATAACTGTCCTTAGACTAGAGTCCTTCACTTGCATCATAGTTGTTATTGCCTGCTCTATCACAAAGGTGCTCAAGGTGATTTAGATGTAGTAGCTTCAGCTTGTAATACTACATTAAAATGCTGCCTACATTCAGGTTTACATCTGTGGTCCTCAATTTTCATCACTCTTAATTTAGCTATCATTTGCCGTTGTTCTAACACTCTACATGGAAGTTTTTACACTCAGCAGAACTTTTCCTGACACAGGTCAGTCATGTGGTATGAAGCAAACAGCAGACTATCCAAATAAACTGCCCGACTTCTCAAACACATCCACACAAACACCCCACCCAGCCTGTGGTTTACTTATCTGCCTTCTGTCTGACAGTCCTCTAAAACAGTCCTTAGTAAAGTTACATGCTAAATGCTGACTTCTGTGGTACAAAATATATTAAAACTCTTAATTGTGTGGTATTTATATCATCCTGTTTTACTAATTTCCTACTGAAAATTCTCATGTTTAAGTAAATTGGCATTACCTGATCACACCGTGAATCTACAATTTTCAGAAAAATTCACTTCATTTTTTTTACGCAGTCCTAAATATTTCCTGCATTTCTCACCAATTCTGTTCCAGAATCTTATTGTAACTCAATAACTGTGTCCAAAAGAAATTAGCAGCAATATATTACATTTCAGAGATTCACCTTGTTCAGATGCACAAATCCCAACTATCAACTGAAAGACAGCAGATTCCTCGAAGCAGGATTTTCTCTTAACCTGGTTTATACAGTCTGGTCAAGACCATGTGCACATTAGTGCTCAATTGTGAAAACGTTTCCTCTTACTTTGGTACTTGGAGCTCCTGTGTAGTTTCCTGTTGTCGTTGGCCCTTCGTCTGAATACAGCAAATCATTATGCCCTATCGCAGAAAACAGACACAACCATACATTTAATAATTTGTGTCACAGTCCCTCTGGCTTGTCAATATGCACTACACTGAGTATTACTGTAATTCCTACTCACCTGCATCTTGCTGGGTGTATGTAGTGTATTTCTCTGTGCAGAATCTGTAGATCTGCCAGGCTAAGATGCCCAGAGCCAGCAGTAGGAGAATGATGGAGATACCCAGAATGCAGTATTTGACCACATCAGAAAATGGCATTCTCAGCTCTCCAGCTTTTGAAAACAGCTCCATAGGAGCTGGGTAGTCTATAAGAGTCACCATGGCTTTTTGCGGCCATGTGGTCTGCACATACCTCTGCAATACAGGAACACAGAGCATGTGAGGACCATAGCTGGGTGGATTAAAGGACCTGCTAATAGCAGGTATGTAATGTAATGTATTTAAAAAAAATATACAGTGCTTAAAAAAATTATTAGACTACTATCCATGTAATGCCACAGTGAATTAAACTAACATTAATGTTTAATCCATCAGCACTATAATCAAAATTATTATTGTTGTTGTTATCCACAAGTTTTCAAATTTGCTGTTACAAAAAAGCCGGAAAAAATAGTAAAGCATGTTGCTTTTTAAAAAAAAATTAAGATTCCAACAATACATTGTTTCTGATGTTAACCAACAGTGGAATTTACAAAAATATTCAGCACTGATTTTGAAATGATCATCTAGTTAGGAAGAATCAATTAATGTCGATTAATCTATTACAGTTTCAGATCGCATGTGTATGACAATATAAAGTTTGAAGATGTTACTTGGACACTTGGGAACTGGATTTAAAAAAAAAATCTATTCTCATATTTTTAGACTAATAGCTAATAATACGTATCAACACATTATTAAAATATAGCAAAGGACACTCAGTGACAGATCATTGACCAATAATTAAAATCTCGGCTGGTCTTTTGGTCATTGGTCTTTTTCGCTGAAAACTTTTTGGTAAAAGTAAAAAAAAACCAAACCCATTAACTGCACTCTCCTCAAAGAGAAAATCAAACAAGCATTGCAGGGAAAAACAATGTTCTAGTTGTTGGTGACTGTTGTTATAATTTGGCCTAACTAATTGAATCCACAGTCCAGTTTTGAGGCACGGAACTTGGATTGAATGCACATAATATATAATAATAAAGCACAAATGAGTCTAGACATATATCAGCTTAACTACTGTTTTCCTTCATGTTGAATGTAGTAAAGCAGAGCCTGATGAACATTTTTCTACAACTTTCTTAGTATGAAAGTATGAAAAAAAGATCATTTTTCTTCTAAAGCTGTTATATACAGTTAGTGGCATTAACAAAGTTTTACACCTGTACCTTTACCAAAAATTCCAGACATGTGCACACTAAATACCTACCAAATGTCCAAACGCCCTGGTATTATCTGAGCGTTCCCTCAGGTAAAGAAAAACAGTACAGCTGTATCTCTTTTTTAAAAAATGCTTAATTCCTATCAGAAATAGTTTCGTCAAAGAGCACTGGACCTGCTCTGTGCAACATGACAGAAAACGTAGTACCTAATGTTTCTATTAAGACAAAGTAAAAATCTAAGGCAATTTTACAATGTGTTGCTAGGTCACAGAATTTAAAAGGACAGGTAAAAGGTAAAAACAGACATACACTTCACTACTGCACAGACCTTCTGTTGCTGCTTGAATCGTGGCTAAAATTGCTTTAAGGACAGTTAAATATTTACCTGTGATAAGTTAAAAACTGAGGTCTCCTTTTTCTTCTTTCCTTTTCCTGTGCTATAAATCCATTGTGTGCGCACTTACATCTCCACAGAAACAAAAGAACTTCTCTGCAAAGAGAAATTCAAACTAGTACCTTATCATGTAACTGTTGCTCCTACTTTGGTCACTCTACACTCACACACAGACACACACACGCGCACACATAGACACACACCCTCCCTCTCTCTCTCTCTTTCACCTAACACATGACTATCAACACACCATTCTGGGCAGACTGGTTTGATTAGATACAAATTACATTTCAGAGAGCTTAGCTCAGTGTGACCTGATCCCAACCTCTCTTCTTCGTAAAGATTCCTCTGCAGGCCTGTTAACTGAATGTTCAGGTTAGATACTTCAGAAGTGAATTATTGAAACTTGGAAAATAAGCATTTTCTAAGTTGCATGTTCAGTTACAGCTCTGCTTTATCATCTCTGTGGCCAAGCTGGCTGCAGATACAGGTGTTATAAAAAGACAGTGGTAACGTACTTTCAACAGCTTAAAGGTCAGCCAGGATCATGCCCTGTTTGTCTTAAAACACTTCCCTTGAAATTGTCTTGCTGAATGGTCACCTAATATGTTGCAGGACTGCTTGCTGACAGCAAGGCCTGCAAATGGGAAAAGGAAATGTATGTAAAAATTGGCCTATCAAGTAACACTTAAGACAGGTAAAGTGTTTTTAGAAAAATGAGAAAGAAAACCTTGATGACTAAGCTTTCTCATTTCCTTGTCACTCTCAGAATTAACATTGCTTTTATTTTGCAACTTTTTAAAACCCAGTCAAGGAACTGCTTCATGAAACTTACACTGAAACTTAAAACGTCACACAGGGAACTTCATATTACATGACCATTGCATTGTGGGCATGAGTCATGAGTTTTCTTCTTCAACACTGTGATATGGATGAAAGGTGTCTTCTGATCAAAGTGCAAAACAATGGAGGCACAGTTTGGTTTTGGGTTAAGACTCTCACAGAAGTGATGCAAAGAGGGCTGGGGTCAGGGTTAAGGCTGTCTTCTTGTCATCCACAGAAGACAGCATGTCAAAAGCAAAGTGAATACAAAAGGCTAAGCTGCAGACATCGTTATGTGAAAGTGAGACTGATGTCATAAAAAACAGAAAGACTTTTGATAGAGTTGTTCTTTATTAGCAAAAATAAGAGCTTTGCTTTTGGCAGTAAGGACACCAAGGGGCTATAGAGACATTTTGGCTTCATTTTTGGAGAACTGTTGTGCCGTCCAACTGCATAGTGGTTAGACTACACGCCTTTGGAACAGAGGATCGCAAGTTCGATTCCTGCCTGGGGCGTCTGTATCCAGTAAGGGTCCTAAGGCTAGACCCCCTATGCTAAGCAAGCCTACCGCAGACATGAGCGAGACAGATAAATAAAAGATAAAAGACAGATAAATATGAAGGCATGCCGGCTCGGACGTCGCCCGGATCAACAAGGTCCGCGTCAGGTGTTGAGGAACCAGGGCACCCTGACGAAAAGTGGGCTACTGGAACAAGAAGGCATCGGTGGGCAAGAGACGAAAACAGGGCGTTGTTGGAATGCTACTATGCAAGTAACCCCGGCGGAAGGGGCTACATGAATAGGATGAGGGAACTATGGATTCTTCGATACCCAACATCCACAATGATGGCGAAACAACTAGTAGCTCAGTGTTCCAACATTCGAAAGAAGGGACTGCTCTCACAACTAGAGATTGACGAGGTACAACACAAATGCTACGGCAAGGAGGAGTCAGGACGCCAGGTCAGGGGGGAGATATCATCACCCCCACCCGAGATTGGGTACATAGCCCCAAGTGCGATAGGAGAAGGATCGTTGAGTGCGAGAGGAACTGACCTGAAAAATAGGATCATGGCCAAGCTTGAAACCTGGATCCCCTGTAGTCGGTTACCAAGATTACGTGAAGTACCCTCAGAAGGTCTGCTAGATGATGTTAATGCACCACTACGGACAATACATACAACCACGATTACCGACGCTAACTACA